AAATTTTGGTCAATGACATGAGATAAAGTATATGTGAACTGCTGTATGAAAAGTGAATTTACTCTGTAAATCTTCACCCAAATCCTAATAAAAAAATACTCCAAAGGTCAGGTATTTCATTGGGGACACCCTGGAGATTTGTCTTTACTGTCCTACCTTCTAACTGTATAATATCAAATGAAATCTAGATAAGCTATTTTTAAATTAAGAGAAGTGCTCTAAGATAAGTGACAAACCATGCTTTTTTCAGAAAACATGAGATTAATTTTAACAATCAAGTTATACTTACAACCATCCTGTTTACAAATCCACTGTACGCAATTGACTCGAGCAGTGTGACCATTCAGGTTGGTAACAACAACCTTTTTCTTGAGAGAAGAAAACAAGTTAGTAAATTAGAATTTATCCTGCAGCGGCATTAATAAATTAATAAAATTCCCATGTTTTGAACCTTTGAAGATCAGAACTACTTCAGACAGACTCACCTTCCTTAATCCATAACTTTTTAACCTTGTCCTAAGCCGTCCATTCACTGTAGTTCAGTCCTGCCTTTTTCACCACTCTCCACATTCCCAGCATCAAGCTCTCAGCTCTTCGCCTGCTTAGCTCCTGCTCACCCTCCCAGTGTCCACCTTCATCTTGTATGGGCACCAACCCTGAGACCCAAGATAGACAAAGACACTCTTTCTTGTGTTCCCACAGGTTCCAGGGCTTACTTCTACTATACGTGCACCAACTTGAGGGTTTTGTTGCCAAGGAGCTCTTTCAGTACAGAAATATGTGATTAATGCCTACAAATCCAACAGTAATTCAAACTACTTTGCATGCCATGGCTGATCAGATGGTGGTGGGTTCTTCTGTCCTAGCGACGCAAGGTACTGAGGCTATAACTAAGAAGTTCTCATACATCAGACTATAACACAGCCTATTGCCAGGCCCCTATGAGTCTTAGACTGCTACCCTTACCAACTCCACTCTACACTTAAGGTTCTTTTATTTCATCCTGTGCTGAAGATGACTACTGTGCCCTCATCTTTATATCCCCTTTCTCCATTTAATGCCAATAGCACTGTCCTCATACCTGCTTATATACCAACCAGAATTCTTATGACAGAGAAAAAGTTACCCAGAGGCAAATGTGCATAAACTAGTGTATTTCATAGGTGGGTTATTTGAGATTAGAGAACAATATAATGTCATTGTCTCTCTCACTAGAGCAAGAATTCCTTGATGGTTACAGTCATTTTCACCCATTATTTTTGTGGCATCACCACCTAGCCTAGGTCTAGCCCACAGAGGATCCTTAAACATCTGCTGAATGAACATCATCTCCAAACTTTATTTCAGCATCTGACATGGTCTTATTTCTGAACTTAAAGTAATGTTCAGCTAGGCTCAATATACTTTTTTGATATGTTAAATTCCCCAAGATGCCCATCAAGTTATCATTAAAATAAAAAATGTGACAGAAGGCAGAAGCACAAACCCATTAAACCTGCTGCAGAAAAATGGGGCTTCTACAGCTGAGTCGGTTCTAAGTTGACAGTCACTGTAAAGTTCACGCAAGGCTTTATGTGCTTTCTCTTGCTATTTTGTAAATGCATGGCAAATTCCAAAATTCAGAACAACTCGAAAAATAAAAAATAAAAATTTGCCATGACTAAAGGTGTTAATAAACCCTGGAGGAAATCCCACCATAGGAACAGCTAGAAGACTGTTACTGTGAAGTGAATCACCCTCATAATAAATACACAAATTCTAGGCTCAGAAGATGAAATTTTTTATTTTTTTGGAATCATTTGTAATCACATCTCAAATACAGTCAGCCCTCATCTGTGGGTTCTGCATCCATGGATTCAATCAACGCAAACTGAAAATATTCAGGGGAAAACAATTCCAGAGAGTAAAACTTGAATTTGCCACCCACTGAGCACGATGCTTAATCCACACAAATGAAGTGGTGGGTAGGCGTACCCTGCTATAGCCTCCTGCTATTTCACAAATCCTCAGTCTCTCCAGCACTCATTTGAGCATCTTGGTTCACTCACTACTTACATTGTGTGTACCCTTTGTTTCTGTGCAAAAATGGCTGCTAGAAAGCAATTATGTGGTCAAAGCAATCCCTCAAAGGCTAAGAGAGATCAGGAAAATGCTACTTGCATAGCATTTATATTGTACTAGGTATTACAAGTAATCTGTTGTTGTTGTTGTTGTTTGCCGTCGAGTCGGCCCCGACTCATAGCAACACCTCCTTGGGTTTCTGAGGCGGTATCACTACAGTAGTAGGATTGCCCAACCTTCCTTCTGAGGAGTGACCTAGAGATGATTTAAAGTATGGAGGAGATGTGTGTTGGTTATATGCAAATATTATACCACTTTATACAAAGCACTTGAGCATCCATGGAATTTGGTATCTGCAGGGGGTCCTGGAAGCAATCCCCCATGGATGCTGAGGGATGACTATAACCACAAAATTAGAGGCATAAGCAATAAGACCAAACACACTACTAGGTCCAAAAGAATACTTGTTACAGCCTAGTTTGGTGAGTAGTGTGTGGGGTCTTAAAAGTTTATGAGCATCCATCTAAAATACAACTATTGGTCTCTACTCAACTGGAGCAAAAGAGAAAGAAGGAAACCAAAGACTCAAAGAAGAAACTAGTCTACAGAACAGTCTCGTGAACCACAGCCTCCACTTCTCCGAGACAAGAAGGACTAGATGGTCTCCAGCTACCACTACTGACCATTCTGATCAGGGCCACAATAGACAGACCCTGATAGAAAGGGAGAAAAATGTGGAAGAGAACCTCAAATGCCTTTTTAAAAAAAAAAGGGAAAGAAAAACAGACTGACTGGTTAAGACTGGAAGACTCCCTGGGACACGATACTCTTTAACGGAACTTATCCCCTGAGGTCACCTTGCAGCTAAATAACAGATTTGCTCACAAAATAAGGACTATCACCTGTGAGTACTGTGCTCCTTTAAAAAATCATCTCTATAAGATGAAACGGTCAACAATTACTTTAAAACAAAAGATGAGACCATAAGGGGGCAGAGAAACTAGATTAACGAAAACAGAAGAACCAGAATATGAATACTGAGAATGTCACACATTACAAAGAATATAACCAATGTCACTGAGCACTTCGTGCAGAAATTGAATGGGAACCTACACTGCTGTGTAAATCTTCACCAAAAACAAAAAACATAACCATTTTAAGAGAGAATTAAAGTCTATAGTGGGGGGAGAAAAAAGGAATACTGTTGTTACAAGAGCATGGACAGTATATAGACAAACCCAGAGATTTTGAGAGACAAAAGTTATCATCATGGGTGAAATTTTCATTTTAAGAGTTAGTAAATATAAACAAGTTCATGATAAAACCAGTAAAATATTTTTTAAAATGCATGACAAAACTAAACAAAATCCAGGAAGAAGGAAGCAATTCAAGATATGGGGAAATGTACATATAAATTTGGGTCTGCAAAAGGTGTCTGAATATAACTCTTAATCAAATTAATAAGCAAGGCAGTAAGTAATACATATAACCGGCTTCTGCACTGTTGTAATTTTCAGCATTTTACTTACTATACTGAGTCTTGTTTTTAGTAGTTAACACTAACTGTACCATCCAAAATTGTTGTTGTTGTTGTTATGTGCCGTCGAGTCAGCCCTGACTCATAGCGACCCCTCCTTGGGTTTCCGAGCAGTATCACTACGGAAGTAGGATTGCCCAACCTTCCTTCCGAGGAGTGGCTGGTGGGTTTGAACCGCCAGCCTTCTGGTTAGCAGTCAAGTGCCTTAGCCACTATGCTACCAGAGCTCCCACCATCCAAAATTAATGGGTGGGAATAGGTTCATAAGGAACTCTGGGCAATATGCAAAAGCTACTCACTTGAGAAATGTGGTGGAGAAAAGGTCAAGAAAAGAATCAACTGATCGGGTCAAAGAAAGAAGGTAAAGTTCAGGCAATGAGTAACTTTCGTCTCAAAACCACTGTTTAAGATCCCCATTCCCCACGGCCTTTTTTCGGAATGGCACTTTCTTTATAGACGTCCAGTAATAGCTAAAGTACAAGTAATATTTATTTAAAATTAAATAAAATGTTTATAAAACGAACCTAAGAGAAACAAAAATGAGATAGCAACTGTGGAATGACGGCTTAATCCACACCTAAATGTCAAGTCTTAAAATCCAGCTCTTTAACAGCACCACAGCCCCCCTTGAAAAGGGGTTTCCATATCACAGATGCCCTCTGCGCATTGGACGCGGCGGCTGTCAGCTGGCCAGGTTCAGCCGCAGAAGTGCCATCCTTCTTACCTGAGGGTCATAGAGTACTACAGAGCAGGAGGTGCCGAAGGCCAGAAGTCCTCCGGGTCCAGGGCTCCAGCTCAGGACTCCCCGCACCCGGTTCGGACAGCAAAACACGTGAGACGTCTCCAGCACCTCAACCACCATGTTGCCGCTGGTCAGCGCCCGAGACCTAGGAGCGCACTTCCGCCCTCGGAGCGGAACTACTCGCCAAGTCGCCTCCCACGCCTCAGTCATCCGGCCCCATTTTCTGAGGCGGCCGGCGGCAGAGTGAATAAGGCCCCACCCCTTGCCGGCCCCGCCCCCCGCAGCCAAGAGACCTGCTGTACCAGGAGGCCAGGGCTACTTATTCCCATCTTTCGCACTGTGGCCCATTATGTGAGCCTGGCTTCCGTTTTAGGAGCGAAGACCAATGGAGTAACTCGGGACTCTTTAAGGAGGTCTGGGGCTGCAGTATCAAGGCAGCGTCAGGAACATCCCGCTGGCCCCCTCGGCTAGGTTCCCAGCAGTGGACGGGATGCTCCTGGGGTCCTAGATGAGGGAAAAGCCCCCAACAGGTATCGGCGCTCAGTACGGTCAAGCCGCGCCAATTCCTCTAGCTTTGCGCCCCCGCCTCCTCCCCTTCCTAAGACCCCCCGTGGCGCCAACGAACACGCGGAGAAAGGATCCGCCGGCCAGGAACGGGGTTCCGGAACAGCATTGCGCATGCCCCGCAATCATGGCAGGCGGAGGCGGCGATTCCCGGCTGAGCGTTACGCGAGGCGGTAATCACTGATTGTCCTCGTGCTCTTGGGAGGCGAGGGCGCGCTAGGTACGGCTTCCTAGTGGCTCTGCGGTGCCATCTCCGGACCGAGGGGTGGCCGAGCAAATGAGGCCGCAGCTTCTCTGCTCCCAGTAGAGTCTTCGGAGGGAGAAGAACGGGGTCAGCTTCGCGCGCTCCCGAACCACTACTGGGCACTGTACCTATGCGCGGGGCTGTCGGACCGCGAGGCCGCGCAGAGGTGAGTTCTGCAGGCCGAGTAGAGGGGCGGTAGAGGGATGATGCACCATTGAGAGAGTAGCCCCGCGGCCCGAAGAATGGTCCCAGCGGGCGGAGAAGGCAGGCGGGAGCCCGCGGCGGGTGCCCGCTTGCCTTGGAAAGCCGGATGTCCTTGTCTGGGGTGCACAGATGGGCTTCGGGGTCCCCTGGAGGACTGCCAGAGGACACGATTTGTACGTTTCATCTGGTAGTCGAAGAAGGTACTGATGTGCTTAAATACAAAAAAACCTAGAGTAGCAAAGTTTTATGCCCTCTTTTCCGTTTTGTCTACCCGCCTCTGCAGGTCTCTGCCCTTTCTCTTTTTCCTCTAACACGCTGAGTTGGCGGGGAAGGAAATCAGCCGGCGAGTCCGCGGCTGCCCTCAGAGCATCCTCTTTGGAGAGGTTCTGAGCTGCCCCTGCGCCATCCGTCGGTGCTTGTCCGCACCCACCCCACTCCTTGCCTCTCTCCTGTGAGTAATTTCTTAATGGTGCTCTTTTAGCCACTAAATGAATTCCCGTAACTTCAGGCTCTGAGGATTTCTTTCAGGGATGTATCCTCCATTTTCCACTATTCTCAGTATGATAAGCAGCAATTATGCAGCACATGACAGTTTATGGCGCACTCCACTTATATTCACGTGTGTGGTTTTCTCATTTATCCTGCCAAATGAAGACTACCAGATTTTCAAAGAAAGTGGTGAATGAGAAAATGGTCAAGGAAGACCAGCTGACAATGGTAGAGCTAGATTGCCACAAGCTGTTGCAGAGCTCCATTTCTGGTTTATCCTGGAGGCAGATGGGTTTGGCCACCATCATCATCCATCATAGATGCTGGCCATCTGTCTGCTGAGCCTGAGCTATCAATTTACCCACCTGTTTTACTGTATCTTCCCAACTTAACTGATTTCTGCTTTTCCAAGTGGGGGCATAGGCCACAGTTTCTGACCATGTTGTGTGGAAGAATGGTAGTCTATGATGAAACTTTGGCCTGTAGCACATTAAAAACAATGTGTTGAGTTTTTCCTGAAGTTTAATTAAAGAACTATTCTCTTCATTATGCAGTTATTCAAAAGAATGAGATCTGTATGTGCTGACATAGAAATTTGTCTGATTAATTGTTCAGTAGGAAAGAAGATCACATTTATATGTTTAAAGTTCATGTGTACTTGAATATGCATAGAAAATATCCTAAGGGATGCAAGAAAATCACAAAATTGGTTACTTTTGACTGGTGGGGGTGAGGAGAAGGGGACTTAAATTGATTTGCTTGCAAGGAGAATAAATTAAAGAAAAAATTTCAATGAATTCTTCTGAGATTGTCATTTTCACTTTAGGTGGAGGAAAAAAAGGTTCTTTTATAAAATTGGGGTGGTGGCGGTAGTTAGGGTTTTTATTAAATTTTTATTGTGATTTATATGAAAGTTTACAGAGCAAATTCACTTTCCATACAGTAGCTCACATACACTTTGTCTCATGACATTGACTGCAATTTCCCATAATGCAACTGCTCCCCTCTCGCCTCTTCCCCCATAGTTATCTCTTCCCTGTGTCTTATTTTGTCTTTATAGTTCTCAGTCCGATAAGTTGCCAATAAGGTTGTGTCTACGTGGATCTCTCCTGTCTCAGAATTACAATTGCTTTTTCAGTGCTAGTTACAGAGCCTCTTAGCACATAGCTGTTCTCCAGTTGTTTCTGGTGTTTTAGCAATGCCAGGGTTGAGACTTGGACTCTAGTTCTCTATTCTTCACAGTACCTAGTACTAGACTAGTCACAGTAAATGATGTTCTATAAATCTTGATTATTTGATTAGACATCAATTCCAGCATGAAGTATCTTAACACAAATTGTTTTCTAAGTGAAGGCAAGAATTCTGTTTCTGTCTTCTCTAGGAAGGTGCAATGGCGAGGAATTTATCTGTGATCTTGATCCTGACCTTCACTCTCCTGGCCTGTGTCACAAGTCCCTCAGCTGCTTTCCCTCAGACCACGGAGAAAATTGTTGCAAATTGGGAAGCAGGCATTAATGTTGACTTGGCAGTTACTACACAGAGACACCATCTACAACAACTTTTTCACCGCTATGGAGAAAATAATTCCTTGTCCGTTGAAGGTTTCAGAAAATTGCTTCAAAATATAGGCATTGATAAGATTAAAAGAATCCATATAAACCATGACCATGATCATCACTCTGACCATGATCATCACTCTGACCATGATCATCACTCTCATCACAATCATGCAACTTCCATTAAAAATAATCAGAAAGGTCTCTGCCCAGACCACGACTCTGATAGTTCAGGTAAAGATCCTAGAAACAGCCAGGGGAAAGGATCTCGCCGACCAGAAAATGCCAATAGTAGAAGAAGTGTTTTAATCAAAGACAGTGCTAGTGAAGTGACCTCAGCTGTATATAATGCTGTCTCTGAAGGAACTCACTTTCTAGAGACTATAGAGACTCCAAAACCTGGAAAAGTTCTCCTTAAAGATGTGAGTGGTTCCACTCCACCGAGCATCACAGAAAAGAGCCATGTGAGCCGACTTGCTAGTAGGAAAACAAATGAATCTTTGAATGAGCTCAGAAAAGGCTTTATGCTTTCCAGAAACACAAATGATAATACTCCAGAGGTAAGATGAGTGCTGTTCATTATTTTAATTAATATGCATGCTTGTCTGTCCTCTCATTGCCATCTCTAGCTATAGTTGTAAGGGGTTTGAAGTAAATATAAAATTGTAAACTTATTTCTCAGAAAGGCACTTAGTTCAGTGTGTATCTACTATGTTGTAAACATTCCTGATACAGAATTGGGGAAATAGTTCTTTGGCAAGAACAGTACTCTAAGATTTTTTTTTTAGTATAGTATATAAAATACTTATGGAAAAGTTATCACATACTTTTGACGAAATTCCTTAAAGGTGAGTATTATTAATTAAAAAAAAAAAAAAAACCTAGAAAATAGGAGGTTGAAAAAGCAGGAGCTAGAATCTGTGTTTAAGAGAAAGACGTTGGTTGTTGTTGTTATTTGCCATCGAGTTAGACCTGACCCGTAGCAACCCCTCCTTGGGTTTCCAAGGCAGTATCACTACGGAAGTAGGATTGCCCAACCTTCCTTCCGAGGAGTGGCTGGTGGGTTTGAACCGCCAGCCTTCTGGTTAGCAGTCAAGTGCCTTAGGCACTACGCTACAGAGCTCCTAAAGATGTTGGTAGAAGGAACTAAAAAAACGCCAAGAACAGTGCTGCTGCCTTCTTGGCAGAGGGATCAGGATGACTTAGAGTTACTGAAGTCAAGGCAGCTATAATGAACATTGTGCTGGGCAAGTGAAAAGACTGTGCAGTGAGATTCTGAGTTAAATGTGATTTTTGTAGAATAGACTTGTACATTGTATGATACAAAATTCATCTTGGAATGAGAAATGTCAAGAATGAGGAATAGTTGATATACTTTAATAAGCAAGATGAAATACTTCATTTAAACCAGCATAAGACTGCCCTAATTCTGACTAATTCTAATGCAGCAACCGATGAAACTTGTTCCGAGTATTACTGGCTGAGAACTAAGGGAGTTTGAAATACCTTTACGGAAGATGAAAAGCAGCTGCTACAGCCATTTTTTGGGGGGGTTGGAGCTGGAGGATAGGTTGGGTAGAGGAGATTCTCTTCAACTAAGCTTTCCATTAATTAAATTGTTGAAATAATTGCTACTTGCCAGTACAGGTTTGTTTTATTACCTAGCACTGCTCTCTGTAAGAGTAATATACATAATTTAATATTCTTTCATTGTAGATCATTATTTTGCCAGGTATGTAGACAGGAATGAGATAAGTTTTTGCAAGTAGGGTCATTGCTGCAAGAGCGACATGTCTTGGACTTGTTCAGGTCAAGTAAGATAGCAGTAGTACTAAAACAACTTCTTTCTCAATCACCATGAAACCCCATCTCTAAATTAAAGCTCATTTCCTTTAATAGCTTTATACAATGAGTTAACAGGCTTGTGAATGTCCATTTATCCCCAAGCTCGTTCCACTGGAGAGTTTTTCCCTAGGTGACTGGTGATGTAACTGCTTCTCTTAAGCAGTACGTGGGAGAAGTAGGATACCACCATTGTGAGTTTCTCCAGTAGCTTGAGATAAGTTCTTACATTCTCAAAACAAAAGTTGATTTTAATCTGCATTAACTTAAAAGATAAAGAAGTAGTTTCATTAAGAAAAGGATGTTGTATTAGCAGACATTTTCAGGATTCTGTAATGGGAATACCTCTAGGTGATTTTCACTGCTTTGTTTCCTTCAGTGCTTCAATGCAACAAAGCTGCTCACGTCGCATGGCATGGGCATCCAGGTTCTGTTGAACACAACAGAGTTCTACTATCTCTGCCCAGCCATCATCAATCAGATTGATACTAGATCTTGTCTCATTCATACAACGAGTGAAAAGAAAGCTGAAATTCCTCCAAAGGCCTATTCTTTACAAATAGGTATAGTTGCCTTTCTTCTTTTTTTAAAAAAACTTACTTTCTAGTAGATACGTTTGTTGTACTTTCCCTAATAATTACATCAACTTTTGTTTTTCAGTATCATTCAAATGTAGCATGTCAATTGATCCTGGCCCTGGATGTGAAGAAAGCAAACGTGATTGTCCCCACCCTTAAAAAAAAAAATAATAAAACTTAGATTGTGACTTGTCTGAGGTCATCCCACAGAAGATGCTAGAATCTTTTGAAATTTGGACCTTTTTGTGTGATGTTACACTGTTCAGAGCAGTCAGTCTGTGCTGGCTTGGGGCCTCATTCTGGTGTTCTTACTGATAAAAGTTCTAATATTAGCGTAGAATCATCTTGCACCAAAACTATGAAAAAGAAAGAAGGGCTTTGTTTACTGCTGAAATTGAGTGTCTGGTTTCCTTCTCTGTTTTCTATCTTTTTTTTTTTTTAACTTTTATCTCTTCTCTTTCATAATTCAGCTGTTACAGGAGTCTGAAAGCTCAGTTCCTGAATGAGCTAGAGTTCATCCATATATATTTTTTTTTCTTTCTTTGACTCCCTTTTTTGGCCTAAAAAGTTTTCCACGAGGCTTATTCAGTTTACATGGAGAGTTCTTGAGTACTAATTAGATGTTAATTTGAGCCAGCAACAGATTTCTTGGTTCTTCTGTTAATACCAAACCAAAACTAAACTCACTGCCATCCAGTCGATTCTCACTCATAGCCACACCCATTGGAGAGTTTTTCCCTAGGTGACTGGTGATGTAACTGCTTCTCTTAAGCAGTACGTGGGAGAAGTAGGATACCACCATTGTGAGTTGACAGAAGTCAGAAGTTGACTGCGTAATCTTTCTTTTGCAGAGCAGCTGGTAGGTTTGAGCCACCAACTTTTTTGTTAACTGCGCAGTGCTTTAACCACTCCATCACCAGAGTCCTAGTCACACAAATTTGTAATTCTTTAATTTCCCTGCTTTACAAGTTGCTTTCTGAAAATATCTCTTTTAAAATTTATTAATATTATGATTTTCCGTTTTTGTTTGACAGCCTGGGTTGGTGGCTTTATAGCTATTTCCATCATCAGTTTCCTGTCCTTGCTGGGTGTTATCTTGGTGCCTCTCATGAACCGGGTGTTTTTCAAATTTCTCCTAAGTTTTCTTGTGGCACTGGCCGTTGGGACATTGAGTGGTGATGCTTTTTTACACCTTCTTCCACATGTAAGTACAGTAATTTGTCTGATTGTTGTATTTATTTAACACTGAAAAAAATTGGAATTTTTGGTTTGTTTGCAGTATAATTCTTTGTATAGATAGAAGTAGAAGGTTAGGGATTTGGTTTTAAAGTATGTTTGGTAATAGAAACCTGTACTTTTTTTGTTAGATCTTAGAACATGTTCATGGTTTTTTGTTTTTCCCTCCAAGGAAATTTACTCAATGCAAACTCATTTAACTCTTGGGAACCTTGTAAATAAAGGAAGATTAAGTTTTGCTCAAAGATTAGTACTGTGACAATGCAGCAATGTTGATTATCTGCTTACGTGTTCTGTTAATTGTCACAGAATAAAATGTGACTCTTTATGTGTACTGCTCAAGAGAGTTAGCATTTTTTTCAGAGTTGACGTTATGTGTATGTTTGGAGATTGACACCGCACGACATGAGTGAATTCTTGAATAGAACAGGCTTGGCAAACCGAAGTCACTTTTTTATGAAATATTTTAGGATTAGGTGTTTTGGCAGAAAATAATTTGGATCTTGTTCTTTAACTTTGTCTTAAAAGTTTACAGGTAAGTGGGAAAACAAAAAATCACTCCATTCCCAGAGCACTACAAATCTCACCATACTCCGTTTGGTGGTGAAAGAAAACTGTTTTGCTGTGACAAAGTCCTTGACCAGATGTGTAGGAGGAGTACCTGCTATATGTGCATGGGGTGGACCCTGAGACCTCTGTCTCTTTGTTAGTGTATTCCACACCTGATTCCCCAACATGCAGTAGCAATAGTTAACTTTTGTGCTCAGCAACAGGTTGCTGGGGCAGGGCATCTGGATCTCAGGTAGGTACTTGTCAGGGCCTATCACTACACACAAACTAAGCTTCTTGTAAACATACCAAAGATATTGGTCCAGGCTTTTCAGTTGGGATGTAAGTGGTAGACACTATGTTCCTATTCTAACAGTTCTCTGTTATTTGTGGTGAAGTATCTTGTCAAACATTGAAAATACCCATTACTTATGTATTATGAGGGTTATCGCAATGCATGTCTGTCTTTATACTGAACAGACCCACATATTTATTAAGTGACATAGTACATTATGTACATTAAGATTTATATAGCTTGCTGCCTTTCGGTCATTTTATTTGTAATGTCTTAAACTTTCCCCCTCAACTGTTTAAGTATCCCAGTAATTGCCTAGTTCTGAATGATTGTCAGTTTGATGTATTATCTTGGCTGTTTTTTCTGACATACTAGTGTGAAATTAAAGAATTTATAAAACACATATTGTTTTGTCTTTAGTCTCATGCAAGTCACCACCATGGTCACAGCCATGAAGAACCAGCAATGGAAATGAAGAGAGGGCCACTTTTCAGTCATCTGTCTTCTCAAAACATAGAAGAAAGTACCTATTTTGATTCTACATGGAAGGGTCTGACAGCTCTAGGAGGCCTGTACTTCATGTTTCTTGTTGAACATGTACTCACATTGATCAAGCAGTTTAAAGATAAGAAGAAAAAGGTAAGAAAAGGTATACTGAGTACTTCTTTATATCAGACATTTATTCAGAGTAGTACTCTGACTTGATTGACAGAGCAGCTTTTCCAGACCGTATGATTCTCATTTGAGAGTGGGGTCAGTACCCTTGAAGTTTTTTCTACTTCTGGAGGCATTCTGCTTCTGGAGGCATTCGTGGAGAGCAGTTCTGTATCTTAATAATCCTGGGGGGTTTTGTCTGTAGTATTCCTGTCAAACTCAAGAGAGAATAAAAAGGGCAAGGATACACATCTACATAAAAGACCACAAGGTACAAGCAGGCCTTGAAGATCAGAAGCATCATGGATGCACCATCAATATTAATTGTTGGTTATGATTAACTATTGTGATTGTTCACCAAGTCACTGAATATTCTGTTTTGTTTCAGAGATTATATGACTTTCATAAGCTTGCCTTTTGTAAATTGTCACCAGGAAATAGTATGAAGCCAAACAGTGGGCTTTTTGTTTCTTAAAAATATCTTGCAGGTTGCTTCTGGTTATCTGCCTCATATCTGATGTGATCCAGAAAGTCAATCAAAATAACCTGTCACAGTGGAGACCCTTAAAAGTGACATTTAAACTTAATTTAAAACCTCCACTCATATTCTGGTCTTTTAATGGAGATAAAGATTTTCTTTGAGTAGGATTTGTTTATCATTTCTCCTCAACATCCGTACTGCTTCATCTACAATTTCCAATTTTGGTTTCTCTGAAATCGAGTGAGAGGTTGCAAAATTGTAAATCTTCTTTGAGTATAGAAGCTATCTTTTAGAAATTCAAAAAATTTTGTATGATGGTTGCTTTACATAACAATTTGATAGCTATTTTTTACCATCTTGCTTTTGAGTCTTTCAAAAGCATTAAGCTTAGTTTCCATAGAAGTAACTATTTTCATCATTTCATAGTTTGAGCAATTAGTAATTAAACTGCAATTACAATAGCAAGGATAACTGGCTTAAAGATGTATGAGGCTGCACAGCTGAACAGAAGTGCATGTATGAACTGGCGAGGAGCCTCCTAGTCCACCCTATGAGTATTTGTCTTTAAGGATTTTACAGTCACCAATATCCCAGATTATAAATTTTGAACCCTCTCTCTTCAATGGACCTAAACTGAGAGGAAAGAAGTAAAATAATGATCCACCAGCCACTCCTCGGAAGGAAGGTTGGACAATCTACTTCCATAGTGATATACCGCCTCGGAAACCTAAGGAGGGGTCGCAATGAGTCGAGTTCGACTCAACGGCTCATAACAACAACAACAACATTCTTAATGTAGGAAGTCATCTTCAGTATTCCAGTTGCCCAAATTGCTTCACTTACACTAGTCTAAAGATACAGCCTACTTTTTATTTTTACCTTTAAAATAAATGATTGTTTTTTGTTTTTCTTTTAACTGTTTTTTCATCCAAATACATAATTTATTTAATAATCTTTTTGATTTTGTGTTCAAATTTTACTTAAACATAGCTCTTCTTTAACCTGATACTCCAAGAGGTAGGCCACTCTCTGTTATATGATACAGAACAATTTTTCAAACTGCAGGTTGTAGCCCATTAAAAATATCCAAAACCAAACCTACTGCCATTGAGTCAATTCTGACACATAACAACCCCCATTTAGGTGGTAAATCTTTACAGTAGTAAATTGCCCCATCTTCCTTCCACAGAGTGGCTGGTGGGTTTGAACCACCAACCTTCTGGTTAGCAGTCAAATGCCTTAGGCACTGTGCCACCAGAGTGCCATTAAAACCAAACTCACAGACGTCAATTCTGTTCCAACTCATAGCGACCCCTCCTTGGGTTTCCAAAGTGGTATCTCTGCAGAAATAGATTGCCCAGTCTTCCTTCCGAGCAGTGGCTGGTGAGTTTGAACCATCAGCCTTCTGGTTAGCAGTCAAGTGCCTTAGGCACTAAAATGGTGGTATGGTGGTTCAGCAGTCACCTGCTAACTCAAAGGTCAGTGGTTTGAACCCACCAGCTGCTCTGCTGAAGAAAGATGTGACAGTCTGCTTCCATAAAGATTATAGCTTGGAAACCCAACCCTACTCTGTTAAGGAGCCTTGGTGGTACGGTGATTAAGCATTCGGCTGCTAACTAGTGGATCCATGGGAGAAAAGACCTGGAGGTACTCCCATAGAGATTACAGCGTGGGAAACCCTGTAAGACAGTTCTGCTCTGTCCTATAAAGGTCATACAACAACAAAATTAATTTGTGTCATGACCAATGTTTTTAAGTGGAATAGTAGTAATACAGCATATTACGTGTTGCAAAAGTATCATTTTATGAAACTAGATTGGATTATTTGTATTTAACTTTGTGTGTGTGCTATAAAATATAAAATGTATTTATTATTTTGGGTAGGGAGCTCTGGTGACATAGTGCCTAAGGCATTTGACTGCTAACTAGAAGGCTGGTGGTTCAAATTCACCAGCTACTACTCAGAAGGAAGATTGGGCAATCTACTTCCGTAGAGATACTGTCTTCGAAACCCAAGGAGGGGTTGCTATGAGTTGAATCGATGGAGGGATTGCTATGAGTTGAATCAACTCAACGGCAGTGAATGAGAGTCAAAACAAGTTGGATTGTCTCTGCTATGATATACTACTATCTATGGGAATCTAGTAGTATATTAGATTCCAATAGATGTTGTTGTGTTGTTAAGTGCCGTTGAGTCGTTTCCGACTCATAGCGACCCCATGCACAGCAGAACGAAACACCGCCCGATCCCACGCCAGCCCCACAATCCCCACTATACTTGCTCCCATCATCGCAGCCACCGTATCAATCCGTCTCGTTGAAGGCCTCCCCCTCTTTCTTCAACCCTCCACCCTACCAAGCATGACATCCTTCTCCAGGGAATGGTCCCTTCTTACAACATGACCAAAATAGGTGAGACGAAGTCTGGCCATTCTTGCT